GATAATAATTGTAATAATGATGAAAATAATAGTGATTATTATCATTATTATCATTATCAAAAATAATAATAAAATACTTTAATAATAATAATAATTATTGATTTTCTTCTTGAGTAGTTATAATAAATATAAGTATAAAATACTTAATTAAAATCATAAGAGATAGATAATAATCATATTGTGATTTAATAATAAATATTAATAATAAAAAAAAAAAAATAATAATAGATAATAATTGTAATAATGATGAAAATAATAGTGATTATTATTATTATTATTATTATTATTATCATTATCATTATTAAAAATAATAATAAAATACTTTAATAATAATAATAATAATTATGGTTTTCTTCTTGAGTAGTTTCTCTTGTTTAAAATGTGTAATAACCCTTTTTTGTTCTCTTATTGTAGGTCTTCTATAATTTTAAATTTGTTGTGCTTTTTGATGGAATTTTGATGCCGATTCCTTTTTTCCTTGACCAATTTTAATTTAATTTTTTTGGAATTGTACTTTACTTGTTTATTTTAATTGAAGACAATAAATTTTATTTTATCTTGTATCTTGTTTTGATATTAATAGTGAGTTTCAGACCTGAGACAACAAGTAATTTCTGGGAGAGTTTGATGTCATCTATTCATATTTACCATATTGCATGTGTCATAGAAAGTAATTTTATAATTAAACCTTCTTCTTTATTAAAAAAAATTTCTCCCTCCACCTAAAGACTACTTTTGGGACCGGGGTTTTCCTGGTCTTTAGCAGATTTGGATAAGTGTGTACAGTTAAACTTGCCTAAGTCGACTGTGCCTTTAGAGTCAAATAATTAAGGTTATTTTCTCGATTTTTGACTGATAGTATATCTTAATCAAAAATTACCTTGACCACTTTTCAGGATTTATCCCCAGAAAATAATGGATCTTTCAGTTTCTATTTTGCAATAGCGCCCTCTAAACCTAAACAATAACTATCAGAGATTTTATAAACACAAGATAGCGTTCTCTGCGATTTACGCGTAGCAAACAGAAGTGTTGATTTTGCAGAAAAAGAGATATAATAAGAATACTAGTGGGCTAACTCCAATGTATTTGATGTTCGAAATATGCAGAGCTGTGTATGTGTACCATCCAAGATGGCTGCCATAGATTTAGCCAATCAAATTTCGCCTAAAGCAACATCATTTGCAATTGCGCCCTCAATTTACTCAGAAAGTTCAGTACAGCTAGTTACCCGTATGTTTGAAACTCGTTTTAAGTTTCATTCCTTAGTACTATATTTTTGAATAAGATGCTCCACTTGGCCTCGTTTTGGCTACAATAGTTTAATAATTTGTTATTACCATTACTCATTATCATTAATGAAATAATAGTCAGTCAGAGGGCATATTTATAGTAATATTATGTATACCAAGCCTGAAGGTGGCGCATTACTACGACAGCCATCTTGGATGGTACACATACATAACTCTGCATTGCTTCGCCATCTTGTCAGCACTCTAGTTGTTTAATGGGTCATTCCGTGCCAACTCAACAAATTTCTAAGATAAACTGTCAGTGATATCTGAAAAATTTCATTCCTACTGTAACTTCAAGCAAAGAGTATAGAGTAGCAAAAGGTCTGACTTCCGGGGTATCTTTGAAATGGAATGCTATCTTGAAATGTACTACCACTAACTAGAGAGTGCCCTTCAAAAGAACATAAAGGTCATTTGCATTGAACGCATGCTTGAATTTCGAACTCTGCACGAGTTCTACCTCACGGTAGTAATTTTTTCTTTATTCATAGCGTTCATGCAAAATCAGGGCAGTCAGACCTTTTGCTATTATACACTCTTTGCTTCAAGGTTCTGCAATAATTAGATGAGCTTAGAAGACCCAATAGAACTAGTAATCTAAGGGTATGTTTACACATACACCGTAAGATTGGGGTAGCTTACGCCGACATAAGCCAATCCATGGATTAAAATTCAAAAGTGTTCACACAAACAGGGTTTGCTATATTAACGCTGGCGTTAAACTAGTAGTAATATAGGCATATGGGGGAATATTTTTCAGTTTTAAATAATGTACGGGTTCTTAACTGTAGTAAAATATTTACAGAGCATCATTAACATTTTTAAGTCTGTGAATTGTTCAAAGTGAACTTATATGATTATTGTAGTTTAAATAAACAATTTTATTTCTGATTTTTCAGCTAGCATTGTGGAACAATTGTTGGTGTTGCAGGTTTTAATAGACAGTCTATATAGGTTAAAATATCTTACAAAACACAATCAACAAATCACATACATTGAAAACTAAGTAAAATGCAATACTGTAGAAAAACCTTTACCATTTCATTTATAGAGAGCACAGGAAAGAGATCAAAGTAACTAGTCTATATAACATGACCAATGGATGTCACCCGCCACTGCCATTGAAACTTCGATGAGAGTTTAACCATATTGCATAAATGCTATGACACCATTGTTCAAGAAGATATATATGAAATTCTAAACACTGACAGAATTTTATTTCTTCTCAATTCATGATGACTAAAGATTCAAGTATTTTTGATCCATACGAAAGACCATAAAATACAAATTACAATTAACAACAAAGTAATATAAGAAATGAGTTGGTTGAATTTTCTGAATGTATGTGTGGCTCACCCCTGACAAAATGGCAGGGGTATTGCACCTTTTATTTGGCTCTGACAATCATCATCAATAAATTATTATTACAAAGAATGTATAAAGTATAAATATTTATATAAAGTAGCATTGCAAATTAAATTATTCTTTTAATCATCGTACTCACCAACACTTTCCAATTTCCTTAGCAGGTCTGGCAAAGTAAAACTACCTTCAAGAAAATTAATTACTTTCCACTGATTGGAAGAAATGTTGACAGGAACCTCATACATCTGACAAAGCTTCTGAAGATTTTGTGTTGAAATGTTTCGGCCAAGAGTAACTAGACGTTGACGATGTGCTGAAAATCGAGTGATCTTTACTTCATCTGGATATTTCTCATACTTAATAATCTTTTTCAAATATCTCAATCCAGTTATTTCAATTGTTTCAAACAAAACTGAAAAGTCTGTTGGCTTCAAAATGTCTGCTACTCTCAGTAATTGGAATAAATCAAAGGCAGATTCAGCTTTCTCCAATTCAGTTCTAAAACTTGCAATATCTGTGTACAGAATTCTTAACATGTCTACATACTTTTCATCTCTCTTGCTAATTGCATCAGAAATTTCCAAAAGCATTCGGTTGAAACCTATTTCAAGAAACATAGTCCATAAGATTCAAATAGTAAAACTGATAAATTATGTTCTACCATTAAAGGCTCTATTAATAAAACTATTCAATTCCCAATTTAAAATATGATTCAGTTAGTAACTTTTTTTAATGAATTTTTTCTGTTTGTTTTTTGCATTCTGTATTTCATTGGGACAGGGGCGGATCCAGAGGGGTGGAAGGTGGGGCACGAGGGCCGATGGTGCCCCCCCTCCCAATCAGTCTTGAAAAAAAAATTAAAAAGGAGAAAAAATTTAACATTGGCCGTATTCGACTGGTTCGTTCTTCGTTAAACCACGCCCACCTGCGCAGTGGTAAAATCCTACTTACTGAAGATGATCAGTCGAATAGAAAACTGTTAGATACTCGAAAAACAAAATGGCTACAGTTACCGCGATACATGCTGCGTAAATCATGGTTCTTCAGATTGTGGCAGTATGGGTTTTTCATTAAAAAAATGCTTTCATCCAGTTTTTGAATTCTGTTAGTCTACAATTATTTTTTGACTATCAAACTTTGTTTATTTGGAACAATTAAAATGTTGAAATATTTTTTTCATAAATCAATTACCCCAATATTTACCTAATGTTCATATAATTAATGATCTAATTATAAACCATTTACATAGTAAATTCTATACTGTATAACAAATTGTTTGATACATTAACTTAAAAGAGAGGGATGTAGTAATAATGGTAAACAACGTTATGCTGCCCTCAATCTGACCATGACTTGCCGTTGCACAGCAAGCGCATAAGACAGTTCCAGTGAAGACGCTATTTTACTGTATAACGTACAGTGGTATTGAATATTAAAAAACTTTGATGTTTTATATATGTTTAATGAGTTGACTATTATTAAAATATAAAGGGGAATTTTTTTAAAGATATGTGTATCCATTTGACACTGAAAAAATAAACGCCTCCCCCTCAAAAGATTTTCAGAACAAATGCCCCAGGGCGTTTCTTCAAATAAATAAGGTAGTGTAATTATTTGAAATGTTCTCATTACTTTCTGTATTTTAATTGTATATTATTTGAAAATGTTCTCATTACGGTTTCTCTGTTGTGGAGATAGAGATAGATGATAATTACATTTAAAATTACTTTTCATTAATCAGTCTAATAAAATATGGAATAGGGCTATTTTTTAATCTGTTGGTTCTGCACTTTACTTGTGGGACTTCCTCCCTCTGTCTCAGATCCATGCTGCACAATATATCAGGTGGGTCTGGTAAGAGATAATGTCATGTGGCAGCTGGATTTTTAAATTTGTTTGCAAATTCGTAACATAATTTCTGGCGTCTTTCAGCTAAATCACTGTATTAAAGAAGGTAAGTACGTTAGCATAACTTGTATATAAAGCACACAAAATTATCTTAATGCTCGTTTTTGTATACTTTCTAATTTTCAGATATGTTCTTTGGTGAAGGTTTTTGAAATACATTATGATGATGATTAATATTGTTATTATTATATCAAATGAGGGAGTTGTTATCTCAAACCTTTCTTTATTAATATTAACATTTAACTATTATTACTAAGCCTATTAGTGATGGTAAAGTCGCACTGCATGGTTCAGTGTTCACTTGTATAACTTTCTAACACTGCGGCAATATCTAGCAAAGTATTCTTACTGTATATTCCTCAATATCTTCACCCCATCATCCGCAGCTGGCAGCAGCAACAAGCGAGGAGGGAACGATGATGATGTGTGGCAATGATGTCATTGATGATGTCGGAGGTAAATTTGCATTGCATGGTTCGGTGATCATGGGGCTGTTCGAGAAGTCGTCGTTCAAAAAGTCGTTGTTTGAAATATAGGTGAATGAACTGATTTATCACTGCATGGTTTGGTGTACATAGTAGTTGCATGAATGGTTGTCATTCGAAAAATCAGCATTTGAAAAGTAAATACACTGATTTATCACAGCATGGTGGGTATCCAGAGTAGTTGAATGAGCAGAATGAATTGGATTCACGCTCAATGGTTGGGCAAATGAGATAATAAAATGTTTTTGTGTTGGACAATGTCAGTTTTAAATGAAATACGTGACTAATAGATGTTTGTCTTGACATCAAATTAAGTAATTTATGGCTGATCGGTTTCAGTATTCATTAGACGGTTTGAGTTTATATTAGATTGTCTTGCATATTTCGTTTGCTTTAGGGGTAGATGGTCACACCTTGAATGTGATGGTGTGAGTATTACCTCAATGGTGTGACTTCCTATTGAATCATTTGGAACATGTTTGAATGGTTTGAATTTGGTGCATTTGAATTGTTGTTGAATGGATTGTGTTTGGTATTTTTGGAGGACTCAGCTTTCTATAGAGATTTAGGTTGTCCTGTTTCACTAACCTTCATTTACATTACTGTCTCTCAAACGTTGAGTAAATGATGGCATATTATCTTCTGTTAAAACTGTAGATGTATATTCAAGATGCTGAATCAATTTCCATGGATTAGAAGAAACCTTGCCTCCATATAATTTACTAAGCTTCTGGACATCTTCAACTGAGAAGCCTCTTCCAAGAGCAACAATACGTTGACGATGTGCTGAAAATCGAGTGATCTTCACTTCACCTGGATATGTCGCATACCTCTCAATAATCTCCTTCAAATATCTCAATCCAGTTAGTTCAATAGTTTCAAACAAAACTGAAATGTCTGTTGCCTTCAAAATTCCTGGTGCTATTAATAAGTGGAATAAATGAAGGGCCGTTTCAGCCTTCTCTAATTCTACTTTAGTAATCAATTCAAAACCTGTGTACAGAATCCTCAACATGTCTATGTACTCTGTCTTTTTGATTTCAGCAGAAAGTTTCACTAGCAATTGTTTAAACTCTGTGGGGAAAAAATTGGTAAAAATAATAGCACAAATGAAAATGATTAAAATCTAAAACATTAAACATTCATTAACAGAGTTAATGACTTCCCCTATGTCCAAAAGCATGTTCTACTGTATGTGCAAAAGTAACATATATGATAATTAAATTAACACTTAAAAATAATGTTTCTACTATTAAATTAAATACTACTTTATTACATATTAACATCCATTAGAAATTAAATACAATGGCAGGTCATTCAATGTCAGCCCCATGTCGACAAGGGGATTTGCCCGAAGGGGATCAAAGGTCACCAACGGGGGACGATGTCTCAGACAAGAAAAAGTCCATTGAAATGGGTCCAGGGGTTGAAGCCCCCAAAAATATGACAATTTAGTTGTTTCAAGGGCTTATTTAATTGATTTAAAGTTAGTATTAATAATTATGTAGAAAACTGTGGTTTTCTCCTTGACGGGGGAAGGGGCATAGCCTTCCTGATGGGGGGGCTGTCCCCAATAGCGCTGCCACTGATGTCAGCCCCAAGTCAACTCAGCCACAAGTCAACGCAGCCCCAAGAAGTCAATTTGGCCCCAATTTTCTGTGTATTAAGTCCCACAAATCTGTAGTCATAATGATGAAAATAAAAGCATAATTATATATTGGATTGATAAGTAAGAAAAGACTCAGAATAAAAGAAAATTCAACTAGATCTTAAATATTAACAAATTAATTAAATTAAAACATAAAATATTGATTTTAAAATATTAAAAACAAGATAACCTGAGATTAGAAACCCTCGCCCTGTTGCGCCCTCTCTATGTACTTAAAAAGTAATGGTCCACAATCAATCCACTCGAGTCGGCCTGGAGTAGCCAAACGAGGAATAGCATCATAGGTCTTGTGTGGAAAACCCATCAATCGGATGAGTTACCACACCAATCACACTGCTTCCATTAATGTTTGATTTTTTTCAGGAGATTCTTGCTTGTGGGAGTATGGGAAGTTGTCCCAATTTCCAGTACACCCCTGATTATAAACATTTGTTTTTACTTTTACATTTTTTCCACTTCAACAGAAATGCTACAAACAGTGTGTATATTATTGCTTTACTTACAAGAATTTTTCCATGTTCATACATCCAGAGACCTGATGAAACTATTTGAGCTTATATAAAATTATACCTAATGACTGTTTTGTGACAAGATTAAATGTGAGGCCTCACCACAAAATGAGTCTCATAGTTAAGAATATCAAAAATTAAGTTTATTTTTATATTTGGGTAGATTACATTATAAGCTTTAATTTGGTCTTTGAATGGCTTCACTTGGATATGTAGATCCAGAGATGTGAACATTTAAATATTATGTGTAAAAGAACCACATTTTGAGAAAATCGGCCTCCAAGATAAACTAACCTGTACTAACCTGTACAAATAATAGGACTAGAATTACAGAATATGCACAAAGAACACTGTTTTAGTAAGAAGATTTACTTAAAAGTATACAATCATCAAATATAAATATCAAGTTATCAAAAAACATTAAAATCAAAATTGTGTAAAAATTTTGACTATTTTTATGATTATCTCAAAATGACTTTACCAACAATGCATCTCATTTCGTGGTGAGACCTCACAAATGGCTTTTAACATAACTCATGTCAACTGAACCATCTGAGTTACTGACCAGGATAACAGGCCTACTCTGAAATGCTTTGAGATGGCTACTGTACATGGAAGATTAGAAAGTACTATAAATGCCACAACATTTTTACCTGATTCCTCCATCCTTCTGGTGTGCTCTACTTCTCACAGCAATTACTAAATAATTTACTCAAATTCTTGATCTTCACCAAGCTTCAGTGCACTAAAAATTGATTTGATAAAAATAGAAGATACTTATTTCAAACATCACAATTTATTTTAATTTAGCTCAACAAGTACCTATTGTTGCCATTATATAAAAAGATTTCATTCTTGACTGCAAGTGCAGAGTCCAAACAGGGAACTTAGAAATATGTCGTGTACAGAAAGCATTTAATATACAAAAGAAAATGCAAGTGAATTCTAACTGCATGTTAGTAATATAGAGGGCACTTTATGAATGAAGTGCTGGAATAGCCTGGATGGTCTGTGAATACCAGTATAGTCACTGTATAACCACTGCTATTTTGGTGTTTAAAATGTGAAATTTATTAAGTTTGTAGATCCTACTCCATAACTGTATAATAATAACTGATAAAAAACAAAGGTTTTTGGTGATTACCAAGCATATTTTAGTCTATAGATTTGTTTTTAAAAACATTGCAAAGAAAAATAAATGACGGTAAATTTGACTTGTAATCTGGTGTACACTTGAAGTATTAAATAACATCAGAATGATTAGCTTATGAATTATTCAATTACAGTAATGTATAGTATAGTTTGACTTGTAGCGGGACAAGTTCTCAATTATGGATCCTTCAAAACAAGTTTTCTATAAAATCTTGGCAGTACAGTAAACATAAAAAATTTGGAGACTACCTACCTATGATTCAACACATTTACAAAATCAATCACCGCAAACCAACTCTGACTCAGTTGTGCCTCCTCAACGTTGGATGAATTATCATCGCACCTTGGTTAACTTGGTTAAATGTGACTAGACTGTACATTATGTTTTCCTAAAAGTCAAGTAAATAAATCCAAAACAACCATCAATGGAGTAGGACAGTGAATAGTCATTTACTAAAAAAATCCCAAACTTGCTACCAGAAAATTTTAAAAGAGTATTACAATAGAAATGAAAATTCAAATTCTGAATAGGTTCCAACAAAAATTTCTATTGGCTTTGTAGTTGGAAGTGTAAAATTGTATTAGAGATTTTGTTCCCTCTAGTATGTTTCTATTGGCTTTGCAGTTTATATAAAAAAAATATTACAAATATATTGATTTAGAGTCTTTGTTCCCTTATCCATGTTATTACAGTAGTTGAATGTTTGTTGGTACCCTAATTTTGTCAACATGCCTGTAATTAATAGAAATTGTATTACTTACTATTCAATATTTCCAAGGAAAAGCATATTGGATTCTCAGTTTGTAGCTGATTTTTAGAATGTACAGTACAGATGTACACACTTATTGTATTCATTCAAATAAATGCCCCAATTGAATAAACGTCCCTTCAAATAAACGCCCAGTTAGAGCCTCATTTGATAATTTAGGGTGTCTATTTTTTCCTCAAATAAATGCCTCCTTCTAGTGTACCTATAATATTTATGTGTAAATTGAATGATCTAAATTTAGTTATATTCTCAGGTGACTTTCTTACTGTTGAAATAATAATTTTTAAAAATAATTATTGTAAAATGTTTTTCTGTATGAAGTAAATTAGCATACATTAACTGCTGCCTAGGACTCAGTAAGTATTGATAATAATCTGGGTAGGGTACTGTGGTTATTTATTTTACTTTTTTTTATCATGTAGTTTATTGTACAGCAACTATAATCAATAGAAAAAAGCTAATCTACAATGTCAAAGTTCATAACACTGGGATATTAATCCCTGTGCTAAATGAAAAGCTTTGCTTTGACAGAGTCACTTTGTTTACATTGCACAACAAATCTGCCAGCAAGTCTCCCTTTCTTAAAGAACTATGTCTTTTTTCCACTGTCCCAACACTGGCTTTTATGACTATGGAATTCATTGACCAAATTTATGAATACATGCTTCAGATGTTTCACTTCATGTATTCAGCTTGTGCTTACTTCAGTGTTCAATTGTGATCATTGTTATTCATTAGTTACTGACCTAGTAAAATAACACAATCACAATTTCTGTAGCAATTAATTGTGATATGAAAACTGTTTCGATGAGAAACTATATTGTTGAGGGCGTAAATTTTCTATCACCAATCGTAACGTAGAGGGCGTAAATAGCGTGGGTAATTCAGATTTGACGATGAATTCGCTGTCACACGTTATGTTTTTATGCTAAAGTAATTGCTGGTTTTATCTGTTAAAACCATTTCTGAAGTTTGATATCATGCTGTATATGATATGTAAGTATTTTAGAGCCATTTTGACCTTAGAGTAGTTGTCAATACTGTAAATCGTATTTTAATCACATTTTGCTTAGAACGAGTTGCATGCCTGTTACACATGTGTAGTGATAGCGGCACTTAGTCGGTCCTGCTTGGACTTTATGGTGTGATAGCTAGCCTAGCTTAATTTGGACTGTCATGATACTTCTACTCTGATTTTATTGTATGTGCTACGAGAGTTATACGTTTATGTAAGATGTATTACATGAATATCATAAATTATAATCTATACCATATATTTTTATAATGTAAATATTAATATAATGGTTAATGTAGGAACTATTTTATGTTGCATCTGATATAATTCCTTTGTTTTCTGAGATAGATATATTATGGTTACATTGGCGCATTGGTATACATTTGTCAAATTGTGTTATGAGGTTTTATCTATGATGCTTGTTTATTAGACAACCTCTGGAATGTGTTCAAGCTTATTGTTTGCATTTCTTATTTACCATATTGCATTTATGTTTATCTTATTCCATTTGATTCAGAATGTATTACTGGTGCAATTACTGTAAACTGATGTACTGTATTGAATTGATGTGTAGTTGGGGAGATAAGTTGTAAGTTCATGGTCTAGGATTGATATGTTATTGCTTACATAGTCTCTTTGATAATCTTAATTAATTAATGTAATTCTTACACATATTATTAAAGACATTGCATTAATTTACTGATTATGTTTAGGCTTACAATATGCATTATGTTAACTTAATTATAACGCTTATTAGATATAATTTGGAATTACTGTATATTATGTAACTTCAATCATATTTGATTCTGATTTGAGCTTAAAGATCTGATGATTGCATTAAGCTACAACATGATTTACTGTATTTAGTTATGATACTATTTATTTAATAGTTTATGCTTCTGGTAAATTTATGTTTACAAGGTTTACTGATTACATGCTACCTTACTGTTTTACTGACTGATGTATTGTCACTGTCTTTGATTCTTTCAGAATTGAATAAATATTTTATCTAGTAATTTTACTGGATTGTTTATCTCAATACTTTCTCCCTGCGTCTGATCCGATCCCTCGCCTCGCCACAATTCAATTAACTTATACTGATGTCGGAACCAACTGCAAACATGGAGGTGCAGGATCGAACTGCTTTGAAGAGGAACCGAGCTGTGCGCAAGGGAAAGTTGACCATAGCCTTAAATGAGTTACATGCTGAATTAAAGGAAGAAGACGTGGTCGCGGAACAGATTCGCCTGCTGCTTGAAAGAGCAAAGATCCGACTTGATGCTGCTGAAGACGCTCACGATGCGCTAGTTGACACCATTATGGACGAAGAAGAAATTGTTAAAGAAGAAGATTGGCTTGGTGTTGTTGTGAATGATTTCAACAAAGTAACCAGACTAGCAAGAAAAATCCTAGGTGAAGTCTGTGCAACCCCGGTTAAGCCAGGTATTAACATGTCAGAATCTCAGGTTGATGATAATTTCACACCTGCAGAGAATGTAAATGTAGAATCTGTTCAAGAATGTTCTAATGATAATGCAAATGTAGATAGCTCTGTAAATAATATTGAAACCCAATCGGGTAATGTTGTTAACAATGCCGGTAATGTAGGTAATGTAAACAATTCTGTGAGCAATTCTGTATCTAATGTAACGCAAGAGAATTCTTCTCTTATTAGCATGGTCCAGGC